TTGCGGCCCCCCCGTTCCAGTGCGAGGCGAGCCAAGCCTCGCGCGGGCTGGGGCAGAACTGTCGCGCGCTTTGGCAAGTCTGAAATCGTTTGGGGAGTCGCGGTCTCGTCCCAGCGCTAGTCGCGCCGCCGCACAGATCATAGCGCTGCCGACGCAGGTTCGAGGCAGATCTCGGCCAGAGGAGAGCCATGTTGCTGTTTCATGAAGTGCATAATGCCTTGCCAACGCTTCCACCTGTCACTACTTTCGCGCTGGTGGAGCTGCTGGGGCGACGCGATATACTCGCGCTGCAGGATCTGCAGTTCGCGCGAATCGGATGGTTTGAGCCCGTTCCCGACGCAGATAGTGAGCGAGGCGTCAGTCCCGACGCCCTGCAGAACAGCTCGTTGGCATTACTTAGCGAAGCGAAGAAATTACCTGCAGCCGCGCGGAGAGCGGGTGGCGAGCGCCCTCCCGCGCCTGACGCGCTCGAACGCGCGCCCCGCAGCCGCGGTCGCCGCGTCCGACGGAGAGCGGCCAAATGTGCAGACTTAGCCGCTGATTGCGGCGCCGTGCGGGATCTTGAGTTGGCTATCAGCATTGCGAGCCAGCGCGCGATTGTGCCGAGCGCGGGCCCTCGCCGCGAGGTGGGGGCCCTGCGGCAGGGGATCGCGCGGCGCGGAATAAGCGATTGGTCAAACTCTGCCAGGATGGGCCCAACGTGATGAGCGGCTTCCGCTGCCGGGCAACATTTGCGATGAGAGTGCTCGGCTGCGACGCGGAATCCATCGCCCCACCCGCGCCGGACGGCTTGGCGTTGCGGGGCGCGCGCTTTCGCTGCAAAGGCACATTCGACAATTATTTCTCGGGGGTAAGCTTAGCGTGCGTCGTGTTGCGCGTGTCGGTCGATGCTTCTGCAGGCCCTGCAGTCGCGCGCGCTGCTCGAGCAGCGCGGGCGCGCAATATTTGCCAAGCTCGCCCAAAAAATGTTCATTCGCGAGGCGATTCTCGCGAAATTGCAGAAGCATCTCGCCCGCCAGCCATCAAGGCGCGCGCTGCGAGTGCTTCTCCTGACGGCGTATCTATTCTTTTTGCGCCTGCCCTCTGAAGCTCTTCCGACTCACGTTGCTCGTGCAAGCGATCCACCGAAGGCAGGCGGGCCGAAGTCCTGCCTGCGGCTTGATGACAATTCGATTTCGCTCACTCTGCGCTGGCACATGAACCGCGCCTCGCCGATCGCGATGTCGCGGGCCTGTTCGTGCGCGCGCTGCGAAGCAACGTGTCCCGTGCACGCGTTGGGCAAGTTTCGCGCCGAGGTCGAGTCCGGACAGCCTTTCGCGCATTTCCGCCCAGGCGTGGTCTTAACGGCGCTGCGCGCAGCCCTGCAAGAGCTCGGTGTGCCCCAGGATCGTGCGCATCGCACGCGCGATCTTCGCAGGGTTCACGCGCGGGACATGGCCGTCCGAGGTTCGCGGCTGGCAAACATCCTACGAGCCGGAGATTGGCGTTCCGCGGCTTTCCTGTCCTATCTAAATAAAGACGAACTGGAGGCGGCTGCCATCAGGGAAGCGCACGGCGACCCGTGGTCCAGCGACGATGATGAAGGCTAAAGGAGTAGCATTTTGGGCACCTCGCGCGAGTGCGGCGATGGGTGTTCCCTCGCGCGCCGGTGCAGCAAGTGCCTTGGGTGTCGCTGCGCCCGCGCGCTCCCGCGGGGCGCGGCGACGCGAGCAAGGCGTCGCGCGCCCGCCCCGCGGGTGCGGGCCTACCCAATGAGCAGCGCTCCCCGCGCTCTCCCCACCCCCCGCAAAGCTGTCTAGGGTAGTGTCTTTTGTGGGGCAGAACACTACGCAGCTTTGTTCGTTGTTGCAAAAACGCGTACCTAGAAGCGTTTCTCCGTCCTCCCCCCCGCCGCGGGCACCGCGAATCGCTGCGCGGTCCGCGGGGGGGGGTGGCGGGTGGGGCGGTTGGGTAAGAGGTTGGAAGAGGGGGGCGCGCCCAAGTCCTAGTGTACTTCGTGTTCTGGGTCTTGGCCCCCTTCATGACTTTCTCCCCGCGGTGGGGGGAAGGTGAACATACCGCGCACGACGCGCGGCGCAGGGGCGCGCAACGGCCAATCGCGAGGCCTACGCGCCTTCGCACGCGCGTCGCCTTGCCGCGGTAGCGGCGTTCTCCTTTCCCCTCACCCTTCGCCGCTCCTGTGGTTGGGGCGGGTTGCGGAGTGTCGCTGCACCCGCGCGCTCCCGCGGGGCGCGGCGACGCGAGCAAGGTGTCGCGCGCCCGCCCCGCGGGTGCGGGCCTGCCCAATGAGCAGCGCTCCCCGCGCTCCCCCAACCCCCGTAAACCTGTTTAGGGTAGCGTCTTTTGTGGTTGTTATTGTTGTTATTGTTGTTATTGTTGTTATTGTTGTTGTTGTTGTTGTTGTTGTTGTTGTTGTTGTTGTTGTTGAACTCTCACTACAGAAAAATATTTACTGTTGATCCCCCCCTTGAATGACCAGTGTTCTTTTTTTTGGGGGGGGGGGAGTTGAAGTGCTCCACCCGGGGCTCGCACCCTGTTTTGTACCAGGGAAAATCACCAAGGTCTAACTGGGCCCGTGGCCCCTGGTTTACAACAACAGCGGCTCCCGCCAGATACGTCCTCACAATTTATTCCCAAATCGCGCTCCCGCGCGGGACTTCCTCAATATTTGTATACGAATCGCGCTCTCGCGTGGGATTTCCTCGTACAGTCAAACACCCTAATAAGGACGCGCGGTAAGGACGCAAGACCCTTGGAAGTCGAAGTTGGGATTTTTGGGCGGCGGACGACGAAAACCTCAAGGACGCAAGAGCAAGGAAAAACAAGGACGCAAGGGTACCCTGAGCAACATCGCGCGTCCTTATTAGGTTTTTGATTGTAATTATTCAGACGATGCGCCCGAATCACGCTCTCGCTTTGGCTTTTCTCGCGATTTACTTGGGAATCACGCTATCGCTCGAGACTTCCTCGCGATTCATGCACGACCCACGCTTCAGCAACCCGCCTGCTCGACCTGGTCGCCTGGGCCTGCCTTCCCGACCTGCCCGCTATGTGTCGGCCCACCCGATCTGCCCGTCTGGTTCTACCACTTGTTTTCTGCTCCTTGCCCCCCTCCTGCTAATTTGTCTCGTGCTCCATGCTTCTCCCTCCCTCTTCCACCCGTCTTCTCTTCCTTTGCTTTAGGGGCCGTACAAAATGCACGTGGCAGGTAAGGAAGATATACCCCCAAGGGGATACGATCGAAGACGACGAGGGCGGGTCAAGTGGTTCTTGTTGTTCTTGTTGTTGTTGTTGTTGTTGTTGTTGTTGTTGTTATTGCTGTTGGGGTATGTCCTCCATGGGTCGCATGTGATGCACGGGAAGGCCTGGCAATCCGGCGTGTAGATCTGGGAAAACGCGGCCCCTCGGGTCGCGTACAAATAGAGTGACCTTCCAGCAGTGCGCGGCATAGGTCTCGGCTGCAAGTCTGGCGGATACTGCTGTGCTGCTGGGTGAACCATCCATTGCTGGCTGGGTGCAGGCCTGGGTTTCGGCGCTGCAGTCGACCCGCTGACTTAAGGAACGCCACATAAGAAACGAAACCTCTCTTTGGCACCAAGAGCGCCTGTGTGCACGAGGAGGGCTAGAATAATAACCATGGAATGACCTAAAGAATAGCGAGCCTCTTTCGAAACCAAACCGGTGCTTACTTCAGCGACTTGACTGCAGGGCTATGGCGATCGTGGAGATGGACTTATTAGAGTTGGAATGTCTGGGGCCACCGCTCCTCTGGTGCTGGGTGCACGTGCGTGTGCGCTTGCGCTCTGCAGGGCCAATTCTTTGCCAACCTGATATCGGGGGGGACTAAGGGGCAGGATAGCACAGGGCAGGGTAGAGAATCAACTCATCTATCTGGTTCTTCTGGCTCCTCCTGGCGCCAGCAGGCGCCCGTGTATCGAGGAATGGGCCCGGCGGCGGGGCGGAAACCAGCTGCATGCACTCGACTTCGTACCCCTCCCTTCCCTATCCTATCCTGTCGTCCCGCCAGATGGTAGCTGCGTGAGCCTTGCAGGTTTCAGCTTGTCTTTGTTCTTCAGGTCTTGGTTCATCTCGCACGCCTCTTTCGCCCATGCAAGCAAGGGCCTGGCTCATCGCTGCTCTACGGACCAGGGCGATGGTCTCGTAGTCAGTCATGAGGACGCGACAACATTTGCCGAAGATGAGGGTGGTGGCGGGTGGCTGCCATGGCGCAATGCCCTTGGCGGGGCGCTGCGTCACCGTGACATGTGCGCGTTGATCGAGTCGTCGATGCTCCACGTGATCGTGGTCATCCCATTACTGTTATTGGTCTCTCTGGCGACGTCGTAATCTTGTGCGACTGGTCTGGTGTGTCGTAGCCCTCCACATTCGGCTGGCCGCGATGTCTTGTTGCCTGCTCTGGAGGTCAGCTTGCCTTCCGTCGGTGGCTCCAGGCCGAAGTGCGGTCGCAAGGAGGCCGTGTAAGTGTCCACTTGGTGAATCCCGCCCTGAAAACACTGGGCAGGCGGTACCTGGTCGCCAAATCGGTCTCCTTCCTGGGTGTCGAACCCCCCGATGGTTCGAACCGCGATGTGGTGATGGTCCCCGCTGACGGTGCATACATCCGTGGTCGGGTGCATGGCCTTTCCGACCATGGTCTCGACGACGTCACACACGCACACACACGCACACACATATATATGTATATGTATATTTATATATATATATATATATGTATATATATAGATGCACGTGTTACAAGCTTTTGACGGGGTGAGGACATTGTAGTCGGGTGCGGTGCCGAGGTGCACGAAGTCCACGCGTGTGCAGGGGGCGATGTCCAGTAACTTGATGTGTACTGTCTTGCCATCGCTCGGACGTCCATTCCTCGCGCATTTTTCGATTCCGTGCGCGCTTTTTTTGCTAGATGATCCAGGATGCTCCTCGATGGTCCTCGCCGAGAAAAAATGCACACGTCCGAGCGATGCCAAACCAATACTTTTCTTTTTTCTTTTCATCAGGGCAAGGATAAGGATGAGGCAGTCCAGGCGGGACCAATGAGTCGGCAAAGGGGTCGCCGACTGGCCCGTCGCCCCTCAGTTCTTAGGGTCGCGATCGAACATCGCATCTACAAGGTCTTCGTACTTGATAATGCCTGCCTTCTCTTTGTCCGCCCAGTCGATGAACTGGTCCGCTTCCTCGTCCTCCAGGGGATCGCCGAGGCACTGCATCATATACCGCAGCTGCGGCACGGAGATCATGCCAGTACCGTCCTTGTCGAAGGTCTTGAAGGCCTCGATGAGCTCCTCGGGGCGCACTGGGTCCTTGGTATACCGCGGCTCCTCCGAGTCGTAGATCTTCATGAAGAGGTCCAGTGTGAAGTATCCATTGTCTGTCTTGTTGTCCTCGTAGATCCTCTCGATGTCTGCCTTCGTGGGGTTCTGACCTATCGAGCGCCAGAGGTACTTGAAGTCCGGCTGCCACGAGATCATGTTGTGGCCCTCGCGATCCCATATCTGGAACGCCTCTTCCAGTCTCGCAATCTCGTTGGAAGTCATGCCCTCACGTGCGTCGTCTCCCTCCGCCATCTCCTGGCGGTCCTGACCCCGTCCAGGGCTGCTGGGGGGGCAAACGGGCTTGAGCCTAAACGGCTTGAGCCAAAATGGCTACGGAGCGATGCCAAACCAATACTGGTGGGCCATATTCTGCCAGCGAACGGTTTCTGTTGTCTGTGCCCTCCGTGTCCAACTCAGTCGTTGTGGGCGTCGTGCTCGTCTTTGTATTTGATGGCGTGCTGGCAGTGGAGTATCTTCTGGGGCTTGACAACCAGTGGATGGTCCAGGAAGAGGCTGTTCCCGCGGTGGTAGCAGAAAAAGAGTCTGAGGGGTCATTCCGTCTTTTCGTTTACTGAAGCCTGCCGCATGAGGTCGGCTGCTGGTATGTACGCGAATGTCGTGTGATGTTCTTGCAACGTCTCGGAGTATTTGTCAATCGTCTTGGAGGCGAGGTAAACCTGTCCCCAGTAGATGGCTATGTAGGTGTATTGGTAGACAATTGGCGCGGTGCGACGTGTGACTGAGAGTCCCTCTGCGTGATCCCTCTGCTGTTGGTACTTCCAGCCGTTCACCCCCGCTTGGCGTGTAGATGAGGGCGAAGTGGGTGTCGCCGCAGTTGTTGTAGTATCCAATGCTGCATGTCCTTAGTGGAGTCGGCCTCGGGAATGACCCCGTCTTGGCGCACTTCCTGATCTTTGTGGGCTGCCAATGTCGCTGGTCCTGCTGCGCTCAACCTGCAAAGTGATGTTGTCCTTGTACGCGGTATGTACGATTGAAATCGTATTCGACGCCACTCCAAACTTGGGTGTGGTCTAATTCTGACGCCGTCCAATAGCTATATGCATCGGAGTCGACTTCCATGCCATCTTTTGTCCGATGCCAATAGGTCGCTCCAACTCCTGCGTCAGAAATCTCGGCCCCCCGTCAGCCGAAACACCCGGGTGTTTCGGCTCACCAGTTCCTGGGCATCTAGGATCCTAGACAAAAGGGCCACGGACCCTCCTCCTCATCCTCCTCCTCCTCTACTTCCTCTTCCTCCTCCTCCTCCTCCTCCTCCTCCTCCTCCTCTCTCTTCCTCCTCTCTCTTCCTCATCCTCCTCTTTCACTCCTATGCCTCCTACTCTTCCCCCTTCCGACCCTTCCTCCTTCATCCCTTCCTCCTGTTCCTCCTTGTCCTCCTCCTTCTCCTCCTCGTCATCCCGCCCCTCCCTCCTCCCTAATGCTCCCTAGTGCTCCCTCCTCTTCCTCGTCGTCCCTGGAGACACCCTGAGCGCAAACGCAACGTCTGCGCCGATGCACAGCGGTGGGTAGCGTTGCCCTTTGATGGGGCCCTACCACCTTCGCCCCCACGTGTGCCAGCACACCCGAGAAGCACACAACCACATATTGCAATCTCACTGCTTGTGGAAAGCCTCGCCAGCGCGCAATTACTATCCACCGCAGCCCTGAACATGTTTCGGTGTTGGCCCTGTAGCTCGTGCGCGTTCCGTTCGCACCACGGGCCAAATGAAGGCCTCGCCAACGCGCATAACCGCCGCAATGCGGCACGTGTGCCGAAATGAGGTAGGTGACCATATGTACCCTGTCGCTGGGGCCTGCGGCGGAACTCCCTAGGGGGGCACGAAACGTGAGGGGTCTGCCCAAATAGGGCGGATAATGATGCAAACCCTGCAACTGGTGCCTTCGGCAGAACTCTCCAGGGGGCCACGAAACGTGTGAATGGTCTGCCGAAATGGGCCGGGTAAATAACCATGCGAACCTGGCCGCTGATATGCGGAAGGCAGAGCAAGGGGAGGAGGAGGGAGGAGGGGAAGGAGGAATGAATGAGACGCGCGATGAGGACCCAACACACAAGCTAATTCGGAACATATCTGAATCACAATGGCATGCCGACCTTACGCCGTGGCTTACGCAAACCGCTCCACGCGGCCACCGTGTGGAGGCGAGGGCGCGCGCGAACGGCCTCGCGCGGGCGGCGTACGCACGAGTGTCCGCGCTGGGGAGCCAAGTAGTTTACGTCGCTCGATTGCACTCGTCCTGTTCTGGTCGGTGGGTGCAAGGTCTTTGCCGCGCGAGGGGATCTGGAAAATCCATGGAGCGTGCGGGAAAATTCAAGTAACGTCCGGGGATCATCGAGGGCATACGTCAAGGAAGGCCATTCCAACCGACCATTCTGAATCCTTATCAGGCCCCCCCCTCCCGCCGCCTCGCTCAGGCGCTCCAGGTGCAGGATCTCGTGCGGGCGAAGAAGCGGGCGCGTCGCGGGCGAGAGCAGTCAGGACAGCAGTCGCGCGCGCACGCGCTCAGCGGAGACCGCGGGAAACATGCTGGCGCCTGCTCCTCCTGCTCATCGTCAAGTCCTCCCTGCTGCTCCTGCTCCTGCTGATCCTGCTGCTGCTGCTCCTCCTTCTGCTCGTGCCCCTCCCGCGTCTGCTCTCCTTCCGTTCCCCCTTCTGCCCTCCACCTCTCGCTGCTGCTGCTGCACCTCGTCCCCGCCTTCCGTGGGCTGCTACACGCTCTCACCCAGCCACCTCCACGTGACCCCGAGGTGTCCTGTTGAGTAGGAGGGGGAGGAGAGAAAGGGCAGGGGGAGGGGCATGATGACGGGCATGCTGGTAGGAGGGGGCTGGAGCGCCTCCCCCATCACTCACTCACTCACTCTCTCTCTCTCTCTCCCTCTATCTCTTTCACGCTCTCCCTCTCTCTCTCTCTCCCTCTCTCTCTCTCTCCCTCCTCCCCTCTACCCTGCGACCGCGGCCTCATCACCCGCCCCCGTCAGGTCGGATGGCCTCATAGACCGGGCGTGACAGGACCAGGCGGGAAGTACCTCTCCCTCCATCCACCCTTCCTCCTCCCCGGACGTCTCTCGGCCCCTGAAGGCTCCCGGAAGCTTCTGAGAGCCTCCCAGAAGCCCAGAAGGGGGCAGAAGAAGTCCGAGCACCTCGAACCTCGATCCTCGACTCCCTCTCCTTCCCCTGGTCTCTGTTTTTCGCTCCACCGAAGTGGGGGGCAAAGATAGGGGGGAATGGCACAGGGGGGGATGCATCGACCTGGAATTGGCGACACATCGCCGATAGATCGGCGATATGCCCCCGAGAGTGCATCTGCGCCTTCCTGGGCAGGTTGGAGCCATCGGGCCCCTGTCGGCGATCAATGGGCGACTGGGGGTCGATGCACCCCCCCCTATGCCTGCCCCCCCCCCCCCTATCGCTGCCCCTGACGAAGGCCCGCTTCTGAGGTGTGTACGTCGACGAGCGGCCACAGCGCCGAGCCACGCAGCGCATCTCTGGTGGTGCTGCTCCTCGCGCTCCACCTCCTCGTGCTGCCGCTGCCGCTGCTCCTCTGTGCTCTCTTTGTGCTCCTCCTGCTGGCTCCCCTTCCCGTTGCTTCGCAGCCGCTCCGATTCCACCTCCGGGTTCCTCCTCCTGCTGCTCCTGCTCCTCCTCGGGGAGGGGGGAAGGGGGGCAGAAGGAGAGTGAGGGAGGAACGGAAGGCGCAAAGGATGTGGAGGAAGGAGCGGGGGGAGGAGGGGGACGCGGAACGGGAACATCAACTTCTCACTCACCTGAATGTGCTGGACCCTGCAAATGGGCGACGCTGGTGCTTCTGGGGGCAATCGCGGATCAGATCTCCACCAGCCATCCACGACCGAACTCATTGCTGAGGATCCTTCACGGTCCTCCTTCTGCTCCTGCTTCCCGTCCTCCTCCCCTCCCTGCTGCTGCTCCTCCTCGTTGCATTCCGCCTCCCCCCCGTCCTCCTCCGAGACCATAAAATGCCAGAGCTTCGGACGAGGCAATCCGATCCTCGTAGAAAGCGAGCGGAAATGCTGCCAATAAGGCCGAGGCTTCTCGGAACAACCCGTAAGCCGAACGGGATGCATCATGCAAACACCCTCCTCTTCCTCCTCGAACTCATGAGTAAGAACGGACACGATGAGAAGGAAGCGAAGGAGATGGATGAGAAGGAGAAAGACAACTAATTATCTGGTGGTGGGGGATATGCAGAAAATGAACAATCGGACTACTAACATGACCTGGCGACCCCGTACGGCATGGTACATTCTACGCCTCAGAAACCCAAATGTGACGACGTTTGCAAGATTCGGATGACCCGCTCGGGTTGCTGTCATGATCTGGCGGCCCCATAAGGAGGAGGCTCCCGCCTGAGACTTCCTCCAGATACACGCCTCAGGAGCTCAAACGCGATGATAATTACAAGCTTTGGATGACCCGCTCGGTTTACTCACATGATCTGGCGGCCCCATAGGGAGGAAGCTCCCACCTGAGACATCCTCATCATTCACTCAGAGACGAGGCTCCCGCTCAAGACTTCGTCAAGATCCACACCTTAAGAACCCAACACTTACGACAAATACAGCACTTTGATGACCCGCTCGGATCACTAACATGTTCTGGTTGCCCCATAGGGAGATGGTTCCCGCTTGAGACCTCCTCATAATTCACTCACAGACGAGGCTCCCGCTCAAGACTTTCTCCAACTCCACGCCTGAGGAGCCCCAAACTCACGACAATTGCACGATTTGAATGGTCCGCTAGGATTGCTGACATGGTCTGGCGACCCCATCGGGAAGGGGCTCCCGCCTGAGACTTCCTCACGCTTTCATCACACACGAAGCTCCCGCTCCAGACTTCCTCAAGACCCACGCCTCAGGAACCCAAGAACGACGACACTTACAGGATTTGGATGACCCGCTCGGATTGCTAACATGATCTGGCGGCCCTATCAGGAGAAGGTTCCCGCCCGAGACTCCCGCATACTTCAGTCACAGGCGAGGCCCCCACTCGAAACTTTCTAACGATGCATGCGTGAGTATGTGAGCGTGAGTGAGTGTGGGATGCTGCTGATGATGGGATGGTGATAAGGATGGTGATGATGGCGATGATGAGATGATGGTAATGCTGATCATGGTGTGATTAATAATGACGATGCTGATGATGATGTCGATGCCGATGAGAGTGTGGGTGATTGTGTAGAGTGATGATGATAATGCCGATGGTGATAAGGATAACGATGATTATGCTGCTGATGATGACTATGATTATGATTATGGTGGTGATGATGATACTGAGAATGATACTGATAATGATAATGATGAGGCTGCTGCTGCTGCTGCTGCTCCTGCTCCTGCTGCTGCTGCTGATGCTGATGCTGATGCTGATGCTGATGCTGATGATGATGATGATGATGATGATGATGATGATGATGATGATGATGATGATGTGAGGGGTGTTCATGCGCGGAGGTGTCCAGAGAAAACAAGAGCCCCACTTAGGATGTGGGCAACACTGCAAGGTGCACGTAGCACCAACACGTGGATCTTGCGCGGACGCCCCGCGGCCACTTTACACTGGTTTTTGACAAGGACGGCGGGGGTGCCGGCATATTGCCTGCTGTGCAATGCTAACACCCCCTACCCACTCCTTAATGCAAAGTGTACTTTGCACCTGCATCATGCGCCGACGCCTCGCGATCACTCTGCATTCATTTTTGAGAGGGACGGCGGACGGCTGGCAAATCGCCTGCTGCGTACAAACCCACCATCCGCTTCAACAAACAATTTATCATTCCCTTTCCCAAGAAGGAGACATACTGCCGGCTGTGCGCAGGCTTACGATCCCGGTCGAAAGCATATGCAATGTGATTCTGGGTGCACACCCACACACAACACACAATGCTCGCAAACCCGTCGTCACTTTGCATTAGCTTTTGACAAGTATGGTGGGGCGGTCGACCTATTACCCAATGTGGCGCACCTGGTGCGCGTGGCGCACCTGGCACGTGCGGCGCACCTCGGGGGCATCGCGCACCTGGCTGGCGTCTGCCTTGGTTCCCGATGGTTGTCGATGGCGGCCCCTGCCTGTGCTGCGGCTCGGGTGCTACTTATGTAGTGGGAAGCGGGTGGGAGTGAACGACTCGGCTTGCGGCTTGGGGCTTGACCCCTCCCCCTGACACATTCCTTGAACCTGGACGTGGGGTTTCGCGACCGATTGGAACGGTCCAAAAGGCCTCTGCGAGAAAACAACACTCATTGAATTTCGTAAACAAGTTTTTGGCCCGTGTTGGCCTCCTGGGAGGGGGCCTACATGAGAACCTCACCTTCTATGGTCGAGCTCCTCCAAGATGGCCCCGAAATTGCGTGCAAGGCTCCCAAGAGTACCCCACGAGTACCTCAAGAGGGCCTCAAAAGGCACCAGGAAGCCCAAAGAAGCCGCGAAAAGGTCCCAAATATGTCGTCAAAAGACTCTGAATAAACTCCCCGAGGACCCCAAAACGTTCCAAAATGTTCCCAGGACCGTACGAAGGCCCCAAGACGCACAAATGGAATCCAACAATCTCTCAAGAGACATCTGGAAGAATTGCAAATGCATCCAAAAGGACTCTGGCCTTTCTGCTCGCCCATTCGCCAATTTCTCCTCCCTCCTCCCCCTGCCCCCATTTTTTTTTTTTTTTTTTTTTTTCGAAGGCATGCTCTTCCACATCTCTGATCATATCAACTCGCCTAAACATCGTTTCTGGATGGGTTGGTGGGGCTGCGCGAAGCGTCTGGAATCTATGCGATAGTGTCACGCGAGGGATACTAGGCTCCAAGGGGAGGAAGCGAGCATGCTCGGTTCGTATCGGTGCATCAAGAGGACTCGTCGGGAGCCGCGGAGCTCTGACAATACTGGCAATCGATATCAGTTAGAAGCACTGTTGCCATACATTTTCAGCACAGCCCTGGCCCGCTTTTCGTTCCCTCCTGATGAAGGAAAAAACGGATAGGATGAACACAGCGCGTGCACGTGAATGTGGAAATCGGAGTCGGCGATGTGGGGATCGGAGGACCAACCCATCGCCTTGCTGCTGCAAGCCCTACGAAGCCAAATTGACGCAGGGCGCTTGCTGCGAAGGGGGAAGAGGAGGACGATTGCTGGAAGCCAGAGGATGAGGGAGAAGAGGGCGAGGGAAATCAGGAGGGGGAGGGCGAAACCGATAAGCACGTGAGACTAGAAAAACAACATGTAGAGATGGAGCGGACCTTTTACAGCTCGCTGCAATGTAAGGCGGATGTATAACACATATGAAGGCGGGGGCGCTGCCTGGCCAGGCCTGAGCCAAAACAACGGCAGAAACAAGACATGGGCAAAGCAAGAGCCATTCGAGTCTGGTGCTCAAGCCAGTCCGTCGCGCCCTCGTTGGTTTGCCATGCGCGAACCGCACAGGAAACCA